AAAAAAAAAAAAAAAAAAAAAAAAAAAAAAAAAAAAAAAAAAAAAAAAAAAAAAACAAGCCTTGAGAACTGGCACGAAACAGACTGTCTGCTTCCCCATGCCTCGGAGCCGTCACCAGCTTCCCAGTGAGCACTGGCAAAGGCAAACGAGAGGCTAAAAATATCACCAACAAATAACAGCTTGCAAGGATGCCAAATGGGTGATAAAAGCTGAAATAAATGACTAGATTCCACAGCAGCAGACCTTGTAATGGTACTGCAACTCACAGTAACGAGCTGTCTGAAACACTGGGAATGCCCAAGTGCCAGCCAGCTCCAGCGCGGGTGCTGCTGAGCAAGTCTACGCCGAACCCCAGCCCGTCCCCGGGGGTTCTGGACGCAGAGGTGTTACCTGCAGTGCGCCTGTGCCTACACAGTCTACACGGTCTGCACACACATCCTGCTGGCCAGACCATGCAGCCTCTTGGGGCTCGCTGTGGCCCCCTCACCTGCAGCCACACCCACTCTCTGGTTGTTCAGGAAAACCAGCCGGCAGGAAACGGAATCAATGTACTTGAGCTTCCCAGAGGAGCAAGCACGCTTTGAAACTTCATTTGGCGCCTTCTCTGTGCCAGCGAATCACAGAATCAGCGCAAGAGGCCACGGTCTCACTTGTGCTGATCTCTCTGCTCTCTAGTCAGCTCCGCACCCCAAGAAATCAGAAGCTGCTGTTTACTGTTTATACTGTTTTACCTGATGGTCTGGGAAGGGAGCAGAGCCAGCTGTGACCAACCCAGCCTCGAGAGGCCTTCCACGCTTTGTCAAAGGCATCTAAGAACTCAGCGTGCCTACTGGTAATGCAGCATTAACCAATGGTTGAGCACCGTTATACTTTAACATCTCATCTCTTGCTTCCAAGTAGGATTTCCTACTTTTAACAGTTTTCAAAAAAAAAATATCTGAAGTGTATAAAATGTCAGACAAGAGCATTTGGGAAAAAAAAATTAGCAAATCTCTCAAATGGCAAGCCCATGTACTCGCAAGTCTCCACCATCCTCTACTGACAGGGAGCTACTATCAATAGTGTGCTGTAGTTCAGTTCTGGTTTTGTTTTTAAAAAACAGGAAAACCAAACTTGAGTGCAATACCATTGAATACTTGTTTTTTTCACTCGGTATGGTGCATCATCATCTGAATGCAGAAAAAAAATCTTATTTTGATGACTAAATATTCCAGTTTTAAAAGATTTAAATGGTTTGATTATACATGTAATAAAATATAAATACACACAACACAAAACTCAAAAGTCTAACCTACTGCCCTAATGACAGACACTGTTCCCAGTGTACTAGTGACAGTGAAGCAAGAGCTCCAGGTGCCCTACTGTGTGTTCCTCGTGAGTATTTCAGGGCAGAGACTTTATTAAGAGTTAAGAAATTCTGTCCTGGGTCCCAGAGAAGCTGATGATATAGGACACTTCCCGGCACTGCCACAGAGGGCTTCCTAGTTCTCACATGGTACTCTAGAGTCACCCTTGCGGTAGTACATCCTATCAGGCCTACTCAAGCAAGTTCCTGCGCAGGGGCAGGCAGTCCCGCTGGCAAGCGTCGCTACTGTATGTCTGAGAGGGGAGCCAGACGCTGCACCGTCCGTCAACTCCCATGGCCGACATTTCTGCAAGTTTCAACACTGACACGCCAATATTATTACCAGTTTCAATTCTGAAATTTTAAAACAAGTAGTGATTAAACATTTTTAAAGGCTGAGAATTTAGTTATGAATTTATATATATGGAAAGACAAAATGGCACATTGAACTGACTCAGATGACGACTATGTACCTCAACCTCTTAAATGAACGTCTCCACCCCAATCCAAGCGTAATAAAAAATTTAACTTTCCTTTCTTCTGAGAACTAGAATGATTCCCTACTCATAGCAGACAGTTTTAGCAGCCAGGCTCATATTTCCTCTCAAGAATTAGGAATGTAAAGTCATGCTTCCCAGTGTGGCCAGGACCAGGGACTGTCCAGAGTTCCTGAGTTTCCTGAACTACAGAAAGGAAGTTGGGAGGAAGAGTACTTCCCAGCCACAAAGGCTCCAGTGAGCAGCTAGCAGAAATTGACATTCAGTCCAAATCAATCCTGAGTTTCCAGGCACCTTTTAATGGTCTCAGTCTACCAAGATTTCACCAGAGGATCAGCCCTTAAAAAGGTGAGCATCCCGAGGCCATAGCTCTCCTCCAATTAGAGCTTATTTGGCCCAGCTGTCTGGGGTCCAATGCAAAGAATGAAGAGTCCTGCTCTGCTGCCTTGTGCCTGACCTGGCGATCAGCTAATCAGTACGTGGGAGTCAGTCCCCAGCACTCTCTACCCTGCAGGCTTTTACCAAGTAAAATCAGCCGTCTCCAACACATTACTGCGTATCTATCCCTATCACATTCAAAAGCGATTATAACACGCCTTGCAACACCATGCTGCTCATTCTTCTGCAAAGCTATTAGCATGTGTATTCAGTCTAGTATTTACCAGTCGCCCGCCATGTGCTAGATGCTGTGATGGGAAAAGGGATTTGGTGACACTGAGGCAGACCCCACCTTAAGATGGCATCAAGTTCCGAAGAGATACAGGCATACGTGCCCACAGGCATCACTGCAGGGGGAAGCTCTTCAGGAAGATCCAAAGGGAAACCCCAAGAGAAAAAAAAGTGGGTGATGAGGAGTAAGGGCAGAGTCAGAGAAGGGGGTCCCAACTAGAAAGGCCAGCTCGTGCAGGCCCAGGTAGAAGGTGCATGTGCCATCTGGAGTGTTGCAACAAACTCAGAATGCTTGAAAAGCGGGCGGCATCCTAAGCCACAAAATCTGGGCACAATGGGGAGCTGGGAATGTGCAGAACAGCGTGGCCGTGTCATAGGGACACCATTTGCTTTGAACTGCAGTTTGGATTCTGAGTCCCTTGGATCTTCTGACATTATGGAGCCTCTCCTGATAAGCATGCCCCTACATGCACAACTTTATTTACAAATTCAGGAGGTTGAAAATGACTGGAACTGAATAGCAAGACCCATGCTTAAAATTCTGCCAGGTGTGGTAGTACATGACTCTGGCCTGAGCCTTCCTGCAAGGCTGGGGCAGGAGGATGGCCCAAGCCTATCTTCAACATCCTAAAACTCTGCCCCACCCCAGAAAAAAAAATCAAACTGATTCAAGCTGATTTTGCAGACAAAGAATCTCTAAGACTCACTGTGACTAATGAAAGCAGCTAGAGAAACTGAGGCAAAGTCTCTAGTCCACTGTCTAGTCTTTCAGATGTATTATTACCTAGGAAACACACTGCTCTGAAGCAGCCTAAGTTCAGGCTGAGCTCTAGTAGTTGGGTCCCCATCAAGAATTCTTCAACCCTCTGGTTCTTCAGTTAAGCAGTATACTGCTCCTGAGATGTGGCCAGGCCACACAAAGAGATACACAGCAAAGAGTGGGGCTACATATCAGTTTCTCTCCAGCAAAGCCCTCTTACCTGTTCCCTGCCACATCTAGGACGTGAAGTTCCATGGCCTGTGACACCTCTGCAGGTATTCGAGTCAGTCTGTTGTCCCGCACGCAGAACACCGTCAGATTGCAGCACCCGCCAATCTACAGTGGGAAAGAAAAACATCTGCTCTTTTCTCCATTTTGAGGAGGGGTGGGGCAGGATATTTTGCCAACAGCATGAAAAAGATGCATAAAATAGAAAATAGGCCATATGATTTTAAATTTCACTGATGAGCATATATAATTATACAAAATGTTGAACACATTCTAAATCGAATAAAGAAAACGCTTAGTACAGTTCAAACTGTTGTTCTGAAAAAATATTACTTTTCATTGCTGATATCTAATGCAGCTGCACTGGTAAAATGCTAACTAAACTACAAAGGTCCAGGAAGTATTATCTAGTTATAAGGGAATTAAACAATTGTACTTCAAAATACTGGGCCAGAGGTAGTGCTGACACCAATACACACAGGTCAACACCTGCCCTATAACTCCAGTGTTTTCAATATTCCAGGGTTCAGAACGGAAGGGAGGAACCTGATAGATTATACATGAATTGTCTCTAAATAGATTTTGATAGCTTTGGTTGCTCATAAAATAATCTGGCAAAAATCACTTTCCCTTGAGGAATGCAAAACCAGTAACATCTCAGCAAATACTGGTAGTTAGATACATATGTTTCAGTCATGGTTTGCTGTTAACAATCACATTACACTGATAGCTGAGTCCACATCCAAGTCTGTTCCAGGGTAGCTGAACTTCCTAGTGTAGTCTTCAAGACACTAATTCAAGACTTTGCTGGACAAACCGGCCATGGATTTTTGAGTTGGAAAAGCTGAACCAAAGGGAAGGAAAAAATAACTTGGTCTCAGACACGACCTTCTCCAGGACTCCACAAAGCCCTGCATTCTTCTGGCCTTTGCCATACGGAGCAGAAGAAGCTCATGAAGGGACCCATTGATGTCTCCGGACACACAGGAAAGGATACCCTAGGCCTCTCACTGGAGCAAGAGTCATGACTCCTCAAGGCTGTCTGAATATATATCCTGCCCTGTTTCTCTTACGTGTATACTAAATACATGTATGTAGCACCCTAGGAGCATAATATGTCTTTACAAAATTGCTACATAGTTAATTTCTTACATTATCCTTTTATTTCTTCTTCTAAAAATATCAGGATATCCAATTACTTTATTTAACTGCAAAGTTCAACCAAAACAGATGTGAAATACTAATATTATAAAACATCACACAGAGAGCACCCCAATAGGCTGCCCCTTTCAGGTTTCAGAATTCAAGTTTTCTGTCCCAGTAAAGTTAGTTTATTCACTGTATTTTTCACCATTACTTCTTATAGAAACACCATTTTTCTTTCTGTTTTTAAAATCCTTACCATTAATTCAAACTGGCTGGACCTCTGGTCATTATGATAAACTGTCATCTAAATTTCTTTCATAATCATGAACTCTAACAGGACAAAATGGCTCTTGAAAATCCTTAAGGCCACTAGACGAGATTACTGCTTATTTGTACATGGATACAAATAGCTAGAATACTTGACAAAAGGAGCTCCATTCTTACCTACCCTCCCTCCATCGCTCATGCACCTGCCAAACACGAGTGTGCTCCCCTGGACATCTTACAAACTACCTGACTATATATCCCAATAATCTTTTATATAAAAACCCGCGAAGGGGTGACATGAGCCCACTATCATGCTAACCGAATCATTTGTTTGTACTTTGATCTCACTTTTGGTTTCATGGGCAGAATCTGAAGGTTCCCTGGCGGTCAACAGGATCAAATGTCTACTATCACTTAGCAGTTCTGGGAAGCAGAGTCACTGTTTAAATAACCTATTACCAGTTATGTAGGAAGCTGGTATTTTAAACCTCCCTTAAACCACTAATAACACCTTCCAAGAATACAAGGGTTTGGATTTGGAGTCTCTAGAAACTACAGAATGTTGCAGGAAACCCAAGTTTAGCCCTTCTGTGTCTATGTTAATTCAAAATGATCCTATATTTAACTGTCTGCCATTGAGTTGGCCTAGGAAGGGCCTGGAGATCACCATGGAAACCTTTAAAGCAGTGGTTCTTAACCTTCCTAATACTGTGACCCTTTAACACAGCTTCTCAGGCTGCCAGGACCACCCCCAACCATAAAATTATTTTTGTTGCTACTTCATAACTATCATGTTGCCATTGTTATGAATCATAATGTAAATATCTTTACTTTCTGATTGTCTTAGGCGACCCCCGTGAAGGGCCGTTCGACAGAGCCATGGGGTTGCAGCCCACAGGTTGAGAAAAGGGTGGATTCTTACAGAGCGACATGGAGGTGCTAACCAGACTGATGATCCAGTGAGGAAGCCTACGGCAGCCACCCATGCTGCTTGCATTCCACTTTGCAAACGGCTGCCTGCAACTAGCAGACTGCTTTCTCAGTATTGCCCTGTCAATGCTGGTAGCAGAATAGAACTCACATTTTACTAGCAAAAAGGAAAACTTACAAGAAAACAAAATCTGGCCTGAACTACAAGCTGAACAAATATACAAAATTTTAGAGTCCTTTCCAGAGCCTGTGCTATATTATACAAATGTTCCCCATCTCATGAACATTTTCAGAATGATATGGTCTGGGAATTCCTCAAATTATTAGACCACATATATAACAAGACACTATGATCTTTAGCGTATAGAACATAAGAACATGTTCTAATGCCATAATATTTCTCAAGGATCTTACTGGTCACACAATATTTCCCTCACTGTTTATATAACAAATTATTTAATAAACATCCAAGGTTGATGTTGCTGGTAAATTCCAACACTTCTTTGCTTCTCCCAAGCACTAGTTTAATCATCTGGTCATGGTGATACTGATTTGTCTTTACCTCACAAATGTAATTTCTAGAAACAGAAGAACAAAAGGTATGTCTTTAATATCAACAGTCTCTCCCATGACAGCCCTAGCGATTGATACTTATACAAAAATAGGTACTTGCCTGCAGTATTTGTCAACATTTGGTGTTTCACTTAAAATCTTATAATTCTGATAGATTAAAATGTCTTCACACGTCTGTGAAAACCAATGGAGCAAATTTTCCCAGTGCTCTCCCATTCTGGGTACCACTTGTTTTTGGTTTTGTTTACTTTACCATGACAGACACATCGTTTGCTCAGCAACATGAAGAACTTTCTGATAATAGTTAAGATTTTTTTCATTTGAATTGAATGTCTTCCTACCTAAATAGTTTTTATCCCCTTTCAGACAAGGAATCTTTCAGGTAGACAAAACCACCACAGTCACCAACTGTTTTGTGCTTGCATTCCTGTGAATCTAATGAGCATCTGGAGCTCGGGGGGTAACCTTCCTCCTTTCTCAAGTCCCATCTCCTATTTTGTAGATACACCGTTTCTCGCTTGCCTGGATCCCCCTCGTTAGGCTAAGCGAGCGGACCAGGAAGCCTCAGGGACCCACAGTCTTCGTCTCCCAGGGCTGGGGTTTCAGGCATCGTTTTTTCTTACAAGAACCTCCAGGGACTGAACTCAGGTCCTCGTACTTGTGTGGCAGGCACTTTATTGACTGGACCGTCTCTTGAGCCCTGTTAACTCTTTCTTGATTATTTCTTGTTTCAAATTTAGGAATGCATTCACAGTTTTCAGATCTCATGGTCACCTGTACCTTATTCTAGTATGTATAGGTTGTATATTATATTTTATTTATATTATCAATAATTTTAAAATGCAAGGACAACTTAGAACAAAACAAATTTAAAGCTATCTGTGAAATAAATAATCTAATTTCTGAATACCAGAATATTTACAGGGATTATTTACAGTGCCTAAATTATATATATATATATATATATATATATATAACTTGGCCATATGCTCAAGTTGTTTTTTAGCCAGAAGGTGTTTCAAGGAAGCATTTGGCTGGGGACTACTGAAGGCACTGCCTTCTTTCATCAGCCCCACGGTCACACACGGGCTCCCTGCCTATCTACAAACCACACTCCCACACTTTCATCCCCTTAACTTCTCCCCTTTCCCGGAAGTACGTAAACTTAAGCAACAGCGTGAAAGAAAACACACCAGTGGCTGGGCGCTCAGAAGCATGCCGAGTGCCGCAGATGTGTCCGGATGAGCCTTTGCACCACAGCTAGGATCATGCCGACAGTACAATGCAGAGAAGGGGATGAGGCAGCAAAAGATGCCTTTCAGAATCTCTGAATAACTTACAATGTAAGTCACCGAAAAGCATTCTTTTGTGAAATAATAATCTGAACAAATGTGAGAAACACATTATCAATAGAGTCCAGGCCATGCAGTTATTACATTTATTTAGAGAGAAAATGTCCATAGTTTACAACGATGAACACACAGCGCAGTCAGCCAGTTTGAATATTCATGCACTAATGAAGCAAAACGGGAGTTAGAGATGTAACTGTAGTCAGAACAATACTTACAAGATGACAAGTTTACCTGACTTTTCTAAAATTCCAAGCAGCTAACAATTAAGAAAACAAGAGACATTCATTGACTTCCAAATGTTCACTACAATGACACCACAAAACACAAACAGAATCCTCTACTGTGATCCCAACAGACAAACACCTTCCCCTCGGTCATTTGGGAAAGTAGACGGAAATCCATGCGGCTGGAGCAAGGAGCTGTGCCGTGAGACTGACGATATGCAATACCATCAACTACAATGACAGAGACACAGTGTCGGAAAAACTACAGATGCAGCAACCAACAGCAATTAGACAACTATGGACTTGGGACATAAAAATTGCTAACTTCCTGTCTTAGCTTAGAGATGCCATATATGCACCTTAATTGATCAAGAAAAAAAGGTAACACATTTTTCAATGGAAAGACCCCAAGAAAGTGTAAGAGTTGACCAAGTGGTGTCAAGCAAGGAGATAAAGCTGGTGTTCACACACAGACCTCACAGGGCAGGCCACACGAAGTGTACACACTGTGACTGACATGTGATGGGGACACACTTTGTGGTTTAGTTGATCAGTCCCAATGAGACAAGCAGTCATACTCTTTCTGATGGGTACCAAACTGAGATCCATGGCAGAGCCAGAGACATATACTTAATGAGTTTTTTATCCTGGGATTTGGGTGTGTGAGGTTAGGGCTGAAAGTAATCTAGAAATATCTCACTCCTGAAAATCAAAACGTTTCTGCTTTATCAAGACACTGAAGAAAAAAAAGTATGTTTTATCCACTTATCCAACTCTAATGCCAGGAAATCAATCACAGTTTTCCAGAAAACAGAGAACGTGACGGCGCAAATGCTTTAAAGGTAAGAAGAGTTTTGCAGTAGGCTATAAGCAAAACACTGCTGGACACTCAATTTTTAAAAATATCAAAGACAGCTCACTGTTAAAATGACAGTAGCTGTTTCATAATAATAAATTTGTAAGATTTTTTTTCCCCTAAAATGTCTCCCTGGAAAAAAAAGAATTCAAGAGCCATCCAGAGATGACGGGAGAATGTTGTTATTAAACTTCAAAGTGCTCTCCTTGGCATTTGTCCCTCTGCTATACCGATTTTCTAGCATGCCCAGACCAAAGGTCACTTGACCTTTCTTTACCGAATCAAGGTTCTGTACAATCTTCAGGACACATGAAAAGGCCGAGCTGAATCTGAGCCCCTTGTGTTGCCCTGTGTTTACAGTCCAGTCACAGGGATTAGAGACTGGGAGCGCCATCTTAGGAGCTAAAGACAGGCTGCCCTCAGTTTCTCTACTATGAACTGAGGAGACCAGCACGACTTCAAAGACTGAGCGAGTGGAGCCACACAGAGGCACCACAGGCCATACTGGGCACTAAGAAAAAAAGTGTCAAATCTCCTTGTGCTGACTCTGCATCCAATCCATTCCCCATGCACAAGTGCTATTCCACAAGCGGGAAAATCAGTGTTCACAGTATCAGCTGTGTTTTGGTTTACTGCTTACAGATTAGAAGCAAAATGTTTTGATTAGCAGAATCTTAGTTGTCCCAAATTTGGCTGCGATGTAGATTTGAGTCATTCAGTTGGAGATGGTTTCGCTTAGATGTGATGGCTCATATCAAGGGTATGTCTGATTATAAGTGTGCCATGGTTTTAATCTCTTTCCTCTTGCTTCCACTCAGGGAGGTTATTCAACTGACCCAGGAGAGACTGGGCACTGTGAGCAGAGGACCAAGCTGAGAAGGGAAAGAAGCAGCCCGCACACCCTGTTAAGTGACCTTCAAGTTCTAGATCGTTAGATACCAACTTTGAAATTATTCCAAGACAGACGGTGAAGGGTCAGAGCAGAGAAATTTGAACAAAGCTAAGTTGGCCAATGACAATGTGGAGGGAAGAGGCTTTTTCTACGAGGACCCAACCAACAGGAAGTCTTCAGCAACAGCTACGCGATAAAGGGACAGGAAAAGACTATAAACTCAGCTTTTGGCTATGTGACGAATATTAAGAACAAAAAGGCAAGATCAGTTTTACTCTTTCCAGTACAGTGCCCCCAGTTCCCAGAACACAGTGAACAATAAGCCTTCCAAAAGGACACTAGACACCTCCATGCTCCCCTTCACTGTGCGTTCTCTCTGCATTTCCACCTCCTCTGGTAGACCTAGAAGCCTCTGAAGAAGCCGAGTCACTTGCCACAACAGAAAGCTGTTGTCTCTTTTCACCAGTGGGAGAGGAGGAAGAGAGACGGGGAGTGGAGAGGGGTGGGGTCAGTGGTGGAGAAGGCAGCCTCCTGCCTTTGTAAAGGATTCCCAGCCTAGACATTAACAGGAACTGAATCTCTTCCAAGAAACAGGGTTGCCTAATGGTCCACTTTTATAAGCATGATAATGGTTTATGGTTAAATGCAGCAGTTAAACCCCAAATCACCCATATTCTCTGTCAAGTTCCCAAATTATCTACTTCTGTCATAGTCATTCTCTTTATCAAAACATCAATCTCTCTCTCTTTTCTGTTTAAAATCCTGTCAATGTACCTTTCTCAAGTCTCTGTCATGCAACTGACAGGCATTCTTGGATGCACTCCTCTGGCCAAGTTCATGTCAAAATGCACCACACGTCTTTTAAAGATGAAAAAACACCACTAATGAACATTTTTGATCCCTTATGTATAACAATTATTACCATGTTATTTCTTTAGCAGCACGTACCTCTTTTGGTAAAGACACCAGTTTATTTCTGTCTGCATTCAAGTTGCTCAACTTCTTAAGTTTTCCAATGCTCTTAGGTAAAGTCTGTTGAAATAATACATTTGTTATTAACTTATCACAATTTTTAAAACATAAGTCAACAGAAGAAGCAATTATTTACAAGGACTTTTTTTTTTAACAAGAGTATCAAAAGAAAATGTTAGATGAATATCAGATGTCTTTAATGGTCACCTGGGGAAATACAATGACATATTCTAAGTTCTGTTGATATAATAGTACGTTTGAAAGAAATTAAATCAAAGGTGGAGATGGGGCAGTAATATTCTTCCATTCAACAAGTGTGTATCTGCACTCTCAGGGTTTATGTGTGTCCTTCCAGCACACCAGACACCCACAGGTGGACGGTGGCTTTGACGTGTGGAAGCTAGAAGGTCACACAGCTGCTGTGAGGCCAGGGGCGCAGAAAGACCCACCTGGGTGTCAAGAGAGGTAAGCAGGCCTGGCATGCACAGCAGAGCCCTACAACAGCAGGCAGGCTCCCGAGGCTCTCCAACACCACACAGAATCTGAGGGGGACTAGAGTTGTAACCAGTATGGCTTCTATTTGTAAGCCTAAAGCTCCGCTAAGACTAGACGATCTGGGAACTTCTGTACGCCTGCCAGAGGAAGGCCATCTGCAGAAGGACACTGCAGGGACCCAATGCGTCTAAGACTTTGCTCTTCGTAGGCTGTCTCTCACTGTACCCAGAGGATACTACTTCACTTAGTAACGCATGAACAAGGAGAAGAAAGAGGAGGGCGAGGAGGAAATGTGGGCTATGAAGAAGAGTGGCCAAAGAAGAGAGCAGAGAGAGCGCCAGGCAGTCGCCTCTTAACAAAGCACGGACAAGACAACCACAGTAGAGGAGAAGGCAACCAACAGTGGGCCTGACCTAGGAAACAAAGGGAAGGGCAGGAGGGGCAGACAGCAGAGACCGGCTGCCACCATGCTGACCCATCCTCGTGCGTGCACTCTTTACCCTGGTGGCGAGAGGAAGCTTGGTCAAAGAGGGAGTCTGGTCTGGGCAGCTGCCTTCAGTCCTTGATTTTAGGGTAGAGATGGCAGCGGGCTTGTTCAAAGTTTTCAGATGCCATCCTCCATCTCAGAACACAGCAGTCTAAGCATCCATCCCCCAGACCCTTCCCATTCCTCCCGGTGCCCTAACACACCCAGGACACAGCCAGGCACAGGCAGGCTGAGGAGGAAGTGCAGTGCAAGGCTCTGGGTGTGGAGCAAGCTGGTCTTCAGGCCACACCTTCCTATGGCAGAGAACCCATCCCCGCACCAGGCACTCACCAGGAGACGGTTTTCTGTAAGAACCAATTCCGTGAGGTTTTCACAATCCCCAACTGCTTCAGGCAACTGTGTGAGTCTGTTCTGATCGAGCTTCAAGATTGACAGTTTCTTTAGTTTTCCTACAAAAGTGTCATTAAAACTCATTAGTTGTGATTCTTTGCCTAATCACCACTTGGTTGTTTTTTTTTTTTTTCCTAGCTGCTGTTCTTTTTTGTTTTAAATAATTACTTATTTTCTCTTCAACCAGCTTTTCAAACTCAAACTGTACCACTCTCATTTAGATCACTGAAGGTTGAGTGCGAAGAGCAATTTGTTCGGCACATCAGAAAGTCAGTAATTAGAAACAAATTATTTGAAAGAGCTAACTAAAAAGACTGTGAAAGCCAGAGAATTTCATGAAGGACAAACAGCTACCGATGCATTTGTAAGAGAGGATTCGAGAGAAGCGCGTCTGACCCTGCCCCATGGCTGGAAGAGCTGACTTGTCAGGAGAACCCAGTGACTCTGTGAAGACCCTCGCAGGAGTAGCTGTGCACGCAGAAAAAGGTAGAAACTCCAGAGCTTCTCAACAGGAAGTCTTGACAGACACCCACAGGACAAGGAGAAAGAAGAATGAGTCGAATGGCCACCTCCGAGTCCCCAGGGACAAAAAGTAAACCTAAGTCATTCGAATTCTTCCTTCCAGCTGAAGTCAGGGAAACAAGCAGTGAAGGTACCCTTCATTATCGCCACTGTCTGTTATTACGAGATCCTAGCACGGACACCGTCGCATTAAATGAGAAGATCACCTCCACACAGAGAGAAACATGAAGCTGGGGAAGGAGAAGTGAAGGAAGAACTCTACAGCCTTGGGCAGAGGCATGGGGCAAGGGAGGACTGGCCACTCCTTCGCTCTCTGTGTATCATAATCAGTAAGGTACTAAGTCCCCAGTGGATCCCCACAGAGCTACCAGTCCCTGCGTGTACTCTTTCTCCCTCTTCCCCTCCCCACCCCTCTCTCTAGCTCTGTGCATTATATATAAAATAATGATTAGCACATATCTAAAAATTAGCGTTTTAAACAGTTGTGTAAAACAAATAAACACACATTGATTTGGTTCTGCTTTCAAAATTTCTGAACAACCAAAAAAGCACATCAACAGACATTTCTCTTTCTTACAGGATCAGCAATGCATACAAGGAAAACATTATGAAAACCCCTATTTAAAGAAAAACAAGCTCAGGCCCTTGAATAATGAGAAAGAACATTTTTCACAGCTTAAATAACAACACTTGTTCCATCACATTCTATACTAATTTCTCACCCTGATCTAAACTCCTTTATAAGAAAGGAAATGGAGCGGGTAAGGTTGGGCGGTGCAGGCCTTTAATCCCAGAAATTGGAAGGCAAAGGCAGGAGGAGCTCTGTGAGTTTAAGCCCAGCTTTGTCTACAGAGCAAGTTCCAGGACAGCCAAGGCTACATAGGGGAACTCTGTGTCAAAAAAAGTGAAAGAAAGGAAAGAAGGAAGGAGGGAGGGAGGAAGGGAGGGAAGAAAAAAGGGAAGGAAGGAAGAAAGGAAGGAGAAAAAAAGGAAAAAGCAAGAGGTGATGTGGGGAGGTCCTTCTGTACATGTGCTGCTTTTTTAGGTTAATAAATAAAGAAACTGCTTTGGCCTGTGATAAAGCAGAGTAGAGCTAGGTGGGAAAACTAAACTGAATGCTGGAAGAAAGAAGGCAGAATCAGGAAGAAGCCATGGAGCCGCCAGTTGGAACCTTGCTGGTAGGCCATGAGCCTCATTGTAAAATATAAAATAATATGAATGGGTTAATTTAAGATATAAGAGCTAGCTAGAAAGACACTTAAGCAACAGGCCAAGCAGCAATGTAATTAACACAGATCCTGTGTGGCTATTTCGAGTCTGGGCGGCTGGGACCGAACAAGCGACCTCTGCCAACAGGAAGGTTAAAAGATCTCTCCTAGCACATTACAGATGGCTCAGCTCTATCGTATGCTCATATCAAGAAGATGGAGCCCAGTAAAGACCTAAGTTCTAGTGATGTCTGAGTTACAGTCTCATGGACTGTTTAGGATTCTGATATGAAATGTACTAGGGACTGCTCATTTGTCCTCTAATTGTGACTAAGTCACTTTTATAATTACGGGGCTCGGATAATGTAGACATGAATCAACACTTGAAAGTAACAATATCACAGGTTATCACCAGGATGGACTGGCGTAGCTGAAACTGCATTAACGATCCCTTGCCTTCCTTATAAAAACAAGCAATGGGAAGTCCCATTCCCAGCCCTGAACAACAATGAGCAACGCGCGCTCAAGACAACAGCAGGTGGAACCCTATGCCGGCTACGTTTCAATACTTACCAATGCCATCGGGAACTGTTTCCAGTAAGTTCTGGGAAATGATTAAGTCTGTTAGCGAGGTCAGGCCACTGATTTCTTCAGGAAGTCTTTCCAACCTGTTTTCAGAGACATCTAAGCAGAGCAGGCTCTTCAGATTCCCTATTTCCTGTGTTCATGGCACGGAAAGAGAAACACATGCTTGAAGCTGGCACAGCACAGCACAAAGGAATTTGCTCTAGGAGATTTTTTTCACCATCAAACCCAGGTCTGCATCACAGAAACAGCAGCAGAAAGAACGCGAGAGTCGGAAGACCAGGACGGATGCTGTGGAACGCTGGACATGATGTGACCATTGCACGCGTGACCTCACACCACATAGGGGCATCTGCACACGATCAAGCAGGTTACAACTGGAGCACAGATTGAGTAGGGGCTCACAAAGCCTCACCCCCTCCCCAAGTGAGCAGTTCAGTGATGGCTGAAGGAGAAAGGAAAGTTCTTTTTCTTTAAGGGCACAGCCCATGGTAGGGGGGCCCATACCCATGTGTGTGTATGGGCAGCACTAACTGGACTTAGTGGATCTAAAATAAAAGGAAAATAAGGATGACATGAAGTTGGGAGGAAATGAAGCAGAGTGAGGGGAGTTGGAGGAAGGGAGTGGAGGGTAGATATGATCAAAATACATTATATATATGATATATGTCATATAATATCATACATCACATATATGAAAAACTGTCTTTAAAAATCCTCAGTTCTTTGGGAGGCAGAGGAGAGCAGATCTCTGTGAGTTCAAGGCCAGCCTGGTCTACAGAGTGAGTTCCAGAATGGCCAGAATTGTTAAACAGTTAAACCCTGTGTCAAAAAAAAAAAAAAAAAAAAAAACGCAAAAACTCCTCAGTTCTGGGGCTGGAGAGATAGCTCGGTGATTAGGAACACTGACTACTCTGCTAGAAGACCTGGGTTCAACCCCCAGCACCCACATGGGAAGCATATAATCATCTGTAAGGCCAGACCCAAGGGACCACACACCCCCTTCAAGTCTCCAGATAGCACTACACAAGTGTGGTGGACAGACACATGTGCCAGCAAAACACTCACACATAAAATACAAAAATAAAATAATTTAAGGCCTCAGTTCTAAGCATGTTACTTCAGCACATATCTAGATGTGAATATGAGTACATTCCTAGACTCTTTCCAATGAAAATGATAAACTATTTTTTATGATAAACAGAGCCTGAAGGAGAGGTTTAGTAGAACTTGATACTAGAGGCAAACGGGACTTTAAAATAAGCACTTAAAGCATACTCCATTGGCGATCCCATTCCTCTGTGGCTACAATGCCACATGTCACACAGTCATTTATACACATTGCTCAGACATGTACTCTCCCCTTTTAATACCACATGGCCAGTATTTTATTACACTCCTGGTCCTCCACAGTATTCTCCCCATCCGGCAAGGATCTCACACACGTCCCGGTGAAATCTCAGTATCAGTCAAAGGCAGCCCAAATTTCAGAAGCAGAGTCTCATTAGTTTCTCAGTTCCATTAGTCATTAAGAGACATCATGATTAACCTCAGGGCTATCACAGAACAACGGCAAGTCTAGTTGAGTGTGTCCTTCTAGTGTGAGAGTTCCTGGCCTCTCACGCCACCCACAGCTCACAGCCCGTCACCCCTGGGCCACAGTCAAGCGGGCAGCACGCAAACTATTTTAAAATGTGATCATCCAAAACATGAAAGGCAGGGCCTGTGAACACTCAAGATTCAGACTATGTGGCAGAGAAAAGGAGGGAACAAGACATGGCTGTTATGCTGGGGAAGGCTTTCTGGGGGAATTTCTCAACCTGTTCATCTGAAACGAGACCTGCGCATGCCAGACTCCACTCTGAAGAATGAAATGGCCCATTTCATTTAGAACATGGGTCTCATTTGACGACAGCAGAGAAAAGACTAAACATCATGGCACCCAGCTCAAACCGTAAGTGCAATGGGGAGCAGGGGGAGCTCTTAATATTATTTTACGTTAACTACCACAGGGGGGAAAACGTAGTGAAAAAAAATACCCTAAAGCACTTGGGCACAGCAGCAAAGTAGCAGAGATATACAGTGTCTCAATTATGGTCTTTATCATCCACAGATCTAATGGCACAAAGTAAACTACACTGGGTAGGAAGAATAGATGAAGTACAGACTTGGGCATCTATAAAGATGGCAGGCTGGGTTTCCAGTCTCCCTGTGACACGGTACAATGATGAAAGCTCATGGCCTTTTTGCAGATGTGGTTTTTTTCAACAATGAGATGGCTCAGTGGTTAAGACATTGCCTGCTCTTCCAGAGGTCCTGAGCTCAATTCCCAGCAACTACATGGTGGCTCACAACCACCTGCAATGAGATCTGTGCCCTCTTGAGAAAGAGACCTGGTCAGTCATCCTCATCAACTTAGACCAAGAAATCCAATATGGACAAGTTCAACAAAACCACCATATATGGGCTGCCCATGCGTGTGTCATTATGGTCAGGACACAAATTTCATTCTTTCATTTTCTTATCTTTGGGGTCTTCTGGGAAGTCCCATGAAGCAGGGAAGACACACCGTTTACTGCTGTTGCGGCACATTTTGTGAGACTCACTATGAATTACCTGAGGTAATTCAGAGAGTTGATTTCCATCCAACCAGAGATCCTTCAGATGTAGGAGCGCCCCAATTGATTCTGGCTGAAACAAAAGGTGACATTGTAGTGACAAAGCCCCAGACCTCCATCTTCCATCATGAAAGAAAGAATTATCAAATGGGAAAAGGGTACCACAGCAGGCTTGGCTGCTATTTCTCTCATGTCAAGACTCTGTCCCTAAAACTGTCCCAACCTCCTCCCTAGAATGCAAACACCGCCCCTCGTGGTCAGACCACTAGTCCTGACTCGCCCAAACCATATTTCTCCACCACTGTGAACAGAAACTCATTTCCCAGGTTTCCTAGTTGTACCTGAAGAAAGACATCCCTACTGAACTCAAAATCACTTGAGATCATAAGGCCAGAGAAACATCAAATCTCTCAGATACACACTTACCAAATTATAGATTTCATTGTTTCCTAGATCAAGTTCTTCCAGTCTCCTTAGTTGCGTGAGAGAGCTGTTGAAATAACCAACAAAAAGAATGCTCAGAGAAGCTACGGCACACAGAGAAGCACACTTCCTTTCTTGGACTAGTTTCCAAAAGAAAGGTTCATCTGGATGTGGTAGGAAGCACTGCTCAGGAAACTATCCTGCCAGTCACTCTGCACAAAATGCCCTCTTCTTTTCCCCAGGGACTCACTCAGGAAGATACGTAAGAAGATTCTCTCTCAGTTCCAGTGAAGCCAGGTTATAAAGACTAGAAATTCAAAAAAGAAAAATGTGTTAAGAAAATGCCTTCAATATTCCTACTCTCCCTCCACCATCCACATCCCCCGCATGCTGATCTTTTTAAAACCTTTCCCGTTACTCCCCAGAATAAAAATATAGACCACCATCACCATCCACCACTCAACATAATCTTCACGTCCCAGATTTCAATGCAACGGCATTAATAAAAGTATAGATACCTTACACGTGAGACAGGGAAATAACTTCCCATCACTGAAGACGACCACTCCCTGAACTAAGAGCGGCGCTGCCAACTATGTGCCTCTCAGCTTCAGAATGTTAAAAATGCGCTGTTACTAGAACAGCAGTGCCTTTAATCTCAAGGGGCGGGGACTCCTTCCCTGCTATCAGTGAAATACCCTGCCTGTTTTGAATAGAGTGCCTTGGTCTGACAAGACGGCTCAGGGGTAAAAGCACTTGCCACCAAACCTGACACTCTGAGTTCAAGCCCCAGGATTTGCTGGTGGAAAGAGAGAACCGATTCCTGCAAATGGTTTTCTTACCTTTACTGTGGCATGTTCCATCCCATAATAAACATAATAAAAAAGAAAATCAACCTGGGGGGGTAGGGTCTCAACAAAAGCCCAGTGCTCTACCTCAGGGCCACCTCCCTTTTAAGGAGCCAGGAATAATACGATGAGACGCTCTGACCGTACATCTGACTTAATGCAGTAGCTATATTGACGCTGCTCTTACCCTTACTAAGCCCTAGCACAGATCCTTGCAGCAGATTCTCCTGCCTATCAGGACACTGTGGAGCGGGCCGAGGCTCTCCCTAGCCATGATTATCTGGGTCACTTTCAGATAAGAGTCAGTGCCTCACTAACAAAAGCCCCCACCTCCTGGGCTACCCCAGCACTGCATGACACAGATTCCAAGCAGCCACCACCCTTCACTTCACGGGTACCTAGGCTCCATGCAACCCCAAGCAGTTTTGCTAATATTGCCTTAGCAGCATTTAGATTTGGAGGGATTTTATTTCTGAGTATCAGCACTAATCTTCCTTAATCCTTTACTTTCTGTCTTTCCAACAACAAAACTAGGACCATGTGGACTTAAAAAAACAAAACAGGGCATAAATATGAGTAAACAGTCCTTCCACCTATTGGTATAGATATGCATCTTTGCCGAGAATATTTTCAACTATGCTAAGCACAGTATACACTCTATATCATATCCAATTATAAGCTAAATAAGGGACTGGAGAGATGGCTCAGCAGTTCAGAGCACTGGCTTCTCTTCCAGAGGTCCTGGGTTCAGTTCTCAGCACCCACATGGTGGTTCACAGCACCATGCAATTCAAGTTCCAGGGGATCTGGTCTCTCTGGCATTCGTGGGCACTGTATACACATAGTGCACACATAAACCCATACACATAAAAATAAAAATTTGAAAACCAAAAAGAGTTTCCCTCAAAAACCAAAGCAAAGAAAGATGTCAAACAATCATGATTTGATTTAAGAAAACCAAAATCCTTGCTCTACATAATCACTCATGGACTTATCCCCAGTGTTTTCCTGATGGAATGAACCTGACTGGCGATGGCCTGGCAACAGAAGCTCTAGTTTCTTTCTGTCAAGGGCGCACATGGAAGTGCTGCCATGGTGGTGGTGGTGGTGTGTGTGTGGAGGGGGAATAGCTATCCAGAACTAACATGTACGGTGCCAACAGTCACACCTGGAGAGGGAAAAGCGGAGATCTGATTTCAGAGATATGTTCACGTCACCCCACGGGTTTATTAGAAAGGTGGCAAACCCGTCTACATCACATTTACATCGTTTTAGAATCACTGGTGGAGCGGTCATCTTACCCACCCATCCAGCACCTGTTACTTCCGTATCTGTTTTGACAAACCAAGAACGTCTACTGATAGGAGGAACGTCCTTTGAGTCAGAAAATTTCACTTACTGGGCACCATCAAATGCATTTTAAGATTTTTTTAAATTATGTGATCGATGTGTGTACAGAGGGCTGTGTGTGCACGGATGAGTGCAGGCTCCCCCGGAGCGGGAGCTGTATCGGTCCATTGTGAACCACCTTGACGATGGGTGCTGAGAACAAAGCTCAGGTCTTCTGTAAGAACAATACACACGCTTAACCACTGGGCCCTCTACAGGCCCATCAAACGCATCTTGAAAAGCTGCTTTATACAAAAGTTGAGTCTGTGTTGTACCATGTTTCTGAGGTTTGGATCTGAGCACCTCCACCTGAAAGCACAGCAGGGAGGAGCCTGGAGAGAGGAGGGGCTGTACAGGGCTCCTCTCACACCTCTTCACACCAAGTCAGTCCTGACCATCTTGTGGGCAACATTATGATGGCACACAGAAGACTGAGGCACCCTGCATCAGGAAGAAGCAACGCCACAGTCCAAACTGGTCACACTATCAGGTATCTCAGGAGCTCGCTTTTGCTGGAAGTTTCCCAGCAATACATGAAAACCATTTCTTGATCTCCAAGGCACACAGTCATCTCACCTCCTTAACCAAACCAAAAAGCACTGCGAATTTTACCACTGTGTGCTGTTAAAAATATGACAGACGGGATTCTATTCAGTTGTAAGTAAACTTGAAATTTTCAGGTGATGGACGGAAACAAGAAAACAGACAGCAAGGTAGCCCAGAAAGACAAACGCTGTATGTTCTTTCTTACTTGTGGCCCCTGGCTCCTCATCTTCAGATGGGAGTGTACAAGAGTGAAAAGTAGATGGGACCATGGGGTGGGGAGAGAGGCAGCTCTAGAATGCTCAGTAGGACACAGGTGCTGTGGAGCTGGGATAAGTGGGAAAAATCGTCATTTAAGTGGGGGATGGGGGGATGAAAGGAGGAGGAAAATAAGGCTAAAGATGCTCTAAAAAGCCACAGGGGTCCACTGACAGCAGTGGCGGCAGAAGCCGGGCTGGCCCCACCAACGGCTGACTAACTCGGATCCCATGCGTTGAGTGGGTCCACCCCAACATCTACCCCACCCAGGAGCTCCTGTAGCATGTGAAGGAGCCAGTCCTGCAGGAGCAGAGCTGCAGGCCCATCATGACTCTGACAACAGCAAGATATCCGAGACGACTCTCAGCAATGGCCCAGTTCATCCAGAAACCCTGAACCAGACCAATGTCTCATTGCAACGGATATTTGTGTGGGGTGTGTGTGTGTGTGTGTGTTTATATATGTATGCATGCACGTATGTGACACCAACGTCTACTGCCACTGCGGCGAAGGATGAGTCGGTGGAGAGGTGGGAAAGACGGAGAAATGGAATGGTGAGTGAGCGGTGGAGGTGGAACTAGAGACGAGACAGCAGGGAGAGGTGAGAGAAGCCTGCGGTCGAGGGGAGAACATGCTGTCCAACAGGGCCAAAGGGGAGGGGTGCTGCAGCCTGGACCCTGCACTCAGACTCGGTCACAGCACCCACCACACACACACACACACACACACACACACACACACACACACACTGCCCAGCTGCCCCATCACCCTGGTTATAAGCAACAACACAGTGTCCAAGGTGGAAGAACAGATCATTTTCTGGATTGAATCTCCTCAAAAGACCTCTATGGTCCATGCTGCGCCTGAAGGACCCTTCAGTATCCATGGTACACTGCCTCAGGCCTGCTGAAGCCCAGGGATCTTCTGGATGTCCATGGTCCTACAATAGCTGGAAGCCGTGTTGATGTCCCTGGCCCAAGGTACCACTGAAGGCCGGCCATTCGGATGTCCATGGGCTGTGCTTCCACTGCGGGCTATATTGATGGGAGAGGCCTGCACGGCAACCTAAGGCCACGATGATGTCTAGGTCTGTGCTGCTGCCAAAGGCCATGTCTGGGTACGTGTTGATGTCCATAGCCCGGATTACCTCCAAGGGCCATGTGAATGTCTGTGGCCTGTGCTGCAGCCTGAAGCAATGCTGATGTCTCTGCTGTGCTACCACTGGGGGACATAGAGATGTGAGTGGCGTGGGCTGCCACCTGAAGCCATGGTGATATCTGGGTCCAAACTACCACGGAGGGCATGTCTGAGCCCGTGGCCCTACTGCGGTAGAGGGCCATGTTAATTCTGTGGTCTGTACTGCCACTGGATACTATGCTGAGGTCCATGGCACACGGTGATGCTGGAGGATCATGCAGATGTCCATGGTCCATGTTGTCTCCAGAAACTGTGTAAGTCCATGATTAGTGTTCCTGATGGCTGCCAAGAGCAGGGGAGTTGTTTCTGCCATGGCATTGATGACTGCAGACTCAGTTGAGAAAGAGGGACATAAAAGGCTTCTGTGACAACCCCTACCCTTCCTCAGCCCCCTAAAAAAAATAGTAGCCTAGACAGAAAGCCACCAAAGAGACTCTTAAAGACTGTGATCGGGATGATGAAGTGTTGCTCTCTACATTGATGGTTTCTGGCAGGGGAGCAGGTGGGGCAGACTCAGTTCTCTTTAAGGGGCTGCCCACCAGGAGTTTGACCATGCTCTGGTGAGTATATGGGCAACACACACTGAACTTTTTTTTCTTCTTTTATTGGCGGGGGAGGGGGTGTAACAGGAAGTCCAAAGGAGGGGGTGCAAACCTCGGAAGACTGAAATGAGAATGCTCAGGATTCATGATGTGAAATTCCCAAATAATCAATAAAAATACTATGAAAAAAGCCGTGGTGGAAATTATTTATGTTTACTTAAAATATGTGTATGCATAAAGGCATGTACACACACACACAAACTATAGTTTAAATGCAGTGACTCCACTTGGGGTGATAATACTCCCCCAAGAGCCATTAAAAACAAAACCCCAAGTGCTAGGCATGTAGCCTTACACTTACCATTAACATATATACAAATATGGCTTCCAGCAACTAAAAATAAAGATCTGGACATTATAAGACTCTGCAACCTCAGGATGAAAGGCATTCTTTTGCCTGAAAGGCTTAAATCCTGGTCTGTTTGGTTGAGATATTTTATTATTAGCTCTCAATGTCTTCTAAATACTGT